TGGGTGTTTGTTGCATGTCTATTCTGGGAGTGGTGTCCTCATGTATTACCTGAACACAGTCATGTTCCTCGGGCGGAATAACAGTTTCACCCTTTATCCCCAACAAACAATTTAAAATAGCTAAGGGACTTGAGTTAGAACCTGCATATTCCACTTCCAAAATAGCAGTTGATGTCAAAATTACTTCATAACCAATTGCCCTTTGTGCTGTCATGTGCTGCATAGTAAGATTCCTAAATGTAGATGCATGAAGAACAGAAACTACAAATGGCTGAGGAGTACAATATAAGGTGAATCCATTTACAATAAAATGAAACTACAGCTAGGAAACAAGAAAGGATGCTTTGCTTTTTTTTTGTTATTTTGATTTTTTTTTACTATTTTTACACTGTCCCTTTCATTTTTTTAAGCACTTTTATTGATATCACAAGGAATGTAAATATCCAATGTGATTGCAATAGGCATTGACAGGTATTCAATGTAGCCATGCATCATCCTAGTATAACCACTCAAAGTCCAGTGATGTACTAGTACATTGCTGGTCCTTGTTGGGTATATATGCTATGTTCTTTTTTTTATGCAGCCTGTGGGCTGAATGAAAAAAAGAGAAGAAATCTCTGCCAAAAAAAGTGTGTGGTATGCCCGCCATTAGAATATACCCTGCATCCACCCACTTCTAATGGTGGGCACACATGAAATGTTCTTTTTTTTTGTCGTTTAGCCCGTGGGTTGAATGAAAAAAAAAGGAACCTAACAGATTCCTCTATTCACATCGATCGATGTGGATGAAGAAATCTCTACCCCCCAACATTTTTAAAAATATATGCTGCAGCATAAGGGCCATCCACCCACTGGCCACATAAGGTTCTTTTTTAACTGCGGATGAAAAATCTCATCCAACAGCGCTGCACACACTTACGTATATTCTGAGAGCAAGATCCCTGTTTCTGTCAGAATAAACAGATTGGCGCTGCAGCTGAATGGCATTCCTGCAAAGAAAACAGAAATGGTGAACAATAAAACAGTAACTCAATAAAACAACTTTTTTATTTAAATATGTGCCAAAAAAATATTATAAAATATATATGCTGGAGCATAGGAACCATCTACCCACTGGCCACCCCAGGCCCCCATGCTTGGACATATATGCTCTTTTTTTAACTGCGGATGAAAAAATCTTTCTTGGCATTCCTGCAAAGAAAACAGCAATGGTTAACAATAAAACAGTAACAGTAAAATAGTAAGTCAACAACTAAAAAAAAAAGACAACTATTTTTGTTTTTTAAAAATTGTTTAATTTTATTTATTACTTTTACTTTTTATTTTTTATGGTTTTTTTTTACCTTTTTTTAAACTTTAACCAGATTGTAGGGTCTCTCAAAATGCGATAGCCAGTTTCCTGACATCTTTTGAGACCCTGTGCAACTATGTGCCCTGAACGGTGCTATGCTGTACCCTATACTAATAGTCCACTAGTGAATGGTAGTGACATAAGCAGTCCTTGAGGCAGAGACAAGGTTGGCCAGGACAAGAGGGACAAAAAAATCAAGTGTCCCACCTAATTCCGTGTCTGCTAGACACACATCTTTTTTGGGGTGTCCTTTCGGTTGGGGTACCAGGAATGGCATCAGGAATATGCCTCATGCAGCCGGCTAACTGCACCTGGGTTGGGGGTTTGGGTCACAGCACCTTCTGGATACAATAGGGCTGATGATCTCTTCCTGGAATTTTAGGATGGATCCACTTCGTTCAGTTGCTTTGTAAAGCACAAAAGCATTATATAGAGCCAACTGAAATAAATAAACACTTTTATGTACCAGTGTCTGGCTTTTTGGGAAACTAAGTATGGCTTCATCGTCTGCTCGTTGAAGTTCACCCCTCCCATGTTAAGGTTATAGTTGTGGACACAGAGGGGCATCTCAACAACACCAGCTGCCATGGAAATATGGATGGTCGTGTCTGCGTGAATGGAAAACAGGATGAAAGCATCCACTTCACTGTGAGCAATTCATCATTTCTCAAGCAGGCTTTTCCCCCTTTCTAAAATGGGTATTTACAAGCCATTGGGGAAGCCCTGGCGATCAGGTCGCACGATGCCACATGCGCTAATTTCAAGATTGTAAATTGTACAAATGTCTAAATAGTGGCATGCTTGAATAAAAATTGTCCACTTATAAGTGGTACGTAGTATGTATGTAGTCTGGGCATCCGGGGGGCTCTTTTCCCTCATAAATTTCAAAACTTACATGTATAGCATGTTTCCCTCTCACAGGTCTTATACATCTTGACCCCATATCTGGCACGCTTCCTGGGAAGAAATTGTTTGAATGCAAGGCGGCCAGAAAAACTAATGAGGGGCTCATCAACACAGATGTTTTGTTGGGGAGTATAGATATCTGCAAATTTTTGGTTAAGGTGATTTACAAGGGGCCGAATTTTGTGGAGCTGGTCAGATTCAGGGTCACCCCGAGGACGTCACAGTGTGTATTTTTTTATTGAAATGCATTATATTCTCATATCTATGCCTGGCAATGACAGCAGAGAACACGGGCTTATGATGAATCAGGTCTGTAGACCAATACAACCGCAATTAATTTTTTTTTACTAATGTTGAGGGTTAGGCCAAAAAAAACTTTAAATTTGGAACCGCAAAAGGTTTCCATGCAAATGGTCTGGCAAGGTTTGAATTTGGGTATGTAGTGATAAACTGTTGTGCATATAAATTGCTTTGATCCACTATCAATGCATACAGATCTTTCGTGAAAAATAGCTCCAAAAAATTAATTTTCTGTTTCAACCTGAATTCCGGGTTGGGCAGTGAATGGGGGACGTATGGGTGCTGCATAATTTGTGGGCTGCCAATCAGGATTTGCAAGCACATCCGGAAGGACACTATGGGTTCTATGGATCTATGTTCAAATTCTTGGTGGTTGCGGGACACTACTTGTGGTAGCCACTGCACCAGCTTGTACTGCACTTACGGGACTCGCCACGTCACTAAGTGACACTGCAGTGCTGGTATGTATAAGACCAGGATGTACTAGGACGCTGGTGCTCGCCAGTTCACCAAAAGGTAGAGCGGCACTAGTACTGGCACTCTGCTGCACATGAGAATCATCATGCAATTGTAACATCTCACCAACCTGGGAACGGGGTTGGGTACGCCTGACCTTATCAGGGACCTCAACTCCATCATCTGAGCTATCTGTCAGGGTGCCGCTGCTGTCTACAGGTTCGAATTCTGAGGCAGATTCTGTCAGTGAGGCTTCCCCTTCGCTCTCATCTGACATGCTCAGAATCCTGTAGGCCTCTTCACTAGAGTACCTTTCGTTGGACATTTTGGCCACTAAATTTACAGGTACCTAGTGTGACTCACAGGAAAAATAGCACCTCGCTGTCAGGGACTGCTTAAACCGTTACCTGCAAGTGCTAACAGAGATCAGGTCTGATTCTGTGAACACAGCGGTTTTGTGTGCAATGTATCAAGTGACAGTGAACTACTGATACTGCACTTGCTGGGGGAGAAGGAGGAGGGGGGGTAGCGGCTAAACGCAGGTGCTGGTAGGTGCCGGGGCTGATCCCACTAACGCTGCATTTTTGGGGACACTATACTATTGTGAAAGCTGGTATATTGCTGATCTGATAAAGATATTGATCCGTTTAGACACTATACTAGCAATGGAGGTTTTACTGTATATGTGAGCATGTTCCTGGCAATCAAGAGTTAAATGTGATGACTGGTGTAGTGACGGACAATCTGACGCTATCTGGGAGGGGCGCTAACGCTATCTGAAGTCGCCGGTGACACTAATACAGTGATCAGTAAAAAAAATCTGTACACTGTACTAATGGCACTGGTGACAGTGCAATGAAGGGGTTAACTGGGGGCGATCAGGATGGTTAAATGTGACCTATATGTGTTTTTACTGTAAAAGTGTGCTGTTTTTACTCATGGATCTGCTTTCTTCTCTCTTTGGGACGAAATGTGCAACATTTCATGTACCTGTGTAAATGTAAACACAGGTACAGGATGATGTGTGATAAACCAGGGAACAATCAGCAGATCCGGGCCTAACATCACTGGCCTGAATCTGTTGACTGATCGGTCGGGCACCGAATCACGGCACCAGTGGGTCAGCGGGCACGCGCCCCCAATCACAGCAGAAGCGAGAATCATGTATATATACACATGATTTTGCACAGGGAGTCCGCCCTGTAGCAGTATTTTTGCTATAGGGTGGACCTTAACCACTTGGTAACCGAGCTATAGTTGAATGACGGCTACAGCATGGTTACCCAGATCTGGGAGGGCGTCATATGACGTCCTCCGAGAACACGCCCAGAACGCGCCCTCCTGCACACCCCCACGGGCTAATCACAGTGGCCTTTTAACACGTGATCAGCTGTATCCAATGACACAGCAGATCACGGAGTAAATACAGTTGCCGGTTATCTGCAGCACTTTCCTCACGCTGAAAGTACAGTACTTCTGCTAACTGGCAGCTGTCGCAGAGGAGATCGGCACAGATAGTGCTACCTCATCAGTGCCCATCAGTGCTGCCTATCAGTGCAGCCTCATCAACGCACATCAGTGAAGAAGAAAAATTACCTATTTGCTAAATTTTATATTAGAAACAAAGAAAAAATTTTTTTTTTCACATTTTTTGCTATTTTTTTTTGTTTATATCACAAAATATAAAACACCCAGTGGCGATTAAATACCACCAAAAGAAAGCTCTATTTGTGTGAAAAAATGCTAAAATTTTCATATGGGTACAATGTTGCATGACCACGTAATTGCCTTTCAAAGTGCGACAGCACTGAAAGCTGAAAATTGGCCTGGGCACAAAGGGGGTATAGGTGCCCGGTAGGCAAGTGGCTAAGTGGTTAAAGTGTTACTAAACCCACAACAGTATAATCAGTCTGTATATGCAGTAAAGCATGCTTGTTATACTCACTGTGTAACCTAAAGGGTTAATTCTCTGCATTGTGTAGAACGGATGTTTGATTCTGTCTTCTCTGATCCTCCCCTTTTTCTACTGTCCCCAATCCATCTGCTGATAGAACAGAACAGAACCTTGGGGGCAAGCTACACATGCTCAGTTTCGTGTGAACTGCTAGAGAGGTTTTTTTTTCCTTGAGATCAGCATGTGATCAGCACAGGGCCAATCAGCATTGTCCAGAGGTCAGGGGTTCTGCAACCTCAGAGGAGAGAATGAAAACTCCTACAAGCTTTAACCAGTGCTCTGCTGGACACTGATAGAAGTTACAAGACTGCTCTAACTGCTGATGAGAAAATGTATTGAGCAGTTTATATTTACTAAAAAATTGCATTTCCATATTCTGTGTATTGTGGGAGACCTGATAGAGTGAATGCAGGGTCCTGGGTTTAGTAACATTTTAAATAATGATGTTAGGTATCCAAACAAATCCACCAGTTTAACAGGTTTTATTTTTCTTTCGGTCAAACAAAAAACAGTGCCCATGCATGAAGAAAGTCTGACATGCTGGGCATACACCTACTGTAGCTTGAGAGCTGTAAGTGTGTTACAAAAAAACAGCTTGCATAGGGCCCAAAAAATGGGCTTGACCAGGGGCGGACTGACAACTCATGGGGTCCCGGGCAATAGGGGATTATGGGGCCCCTGTGTCCTTGCCCAAACTCAAAAAAGCCTATGAAAATGGTACCAGGGGCATCTCATGGGGCCCCCTACTGACCACAGGCCCTCGGGCAGTGCCCGAGTTTCCAAATGGTCAGTCCGCCCCTGGGCTTGACAACTACCAGACTTTATCTCAACTTTACTAAAACCTGAACTCAGCCGCACTTTCTAAAATGTGCTGGCTTACTATTTCTTCTCGTGAACTTACCTCTTCAATTTACAACTGACAGTTTAACTGCTTGTATACTGCTACACAGCGGCACAGGTGTGCAAAATTACGTATATATACACGATTTAACATTTCCAGGTAGGGGGTGCACATAAGCCGTGTGCCCTACCTGTGCCGCCATTTGCGGCCACGGATGTCAATCACTAGGTCCCGGCCGGTGATTACCCGCCGGCGCCCGGTGATTACCAACAATCTTCCTCCCTGTCAGCTCGGGCACACTGCTTGGGATGGCTGTGCACAGCACAGCCATCCTGATCAGTGTGCTTACAGTGAAGCACACACCCCTGCCCCCTATTAAAACACTTCTTGCACACAGTTAACCCTTTGATCGCTCCTGACATTAACCCCTTCCTGCCCAGTGTCATTAGTACAGTGTCAGTGCTGTTTTTTAGTACTGATCACTGTATTGGTGTCACTGGGTATGTCAGTGACACCAAGTTAATTGCCCCACCAGTGTCAGAATGCCCACCGCAGTCCCGCAGTCCTGCTATAAGTCGCTGATCGCCACCAGTACTAATAGGGAAAAAAAAATATCCCAGTATCTATACTGCCATTTGTAAACACTATAACTTTCACATAAACCAATTAATTTACATGTATTGGGATTTTCTTTTAGCAAAGACATGTCGCAGAATACATTTTGGCCTACATTTAATGACAAAATTAGATTTTTTAAATTTTTTTACTCGACATGTTTAATAGCAAAATGTCCAAAATATTGTTGTTTTTTCTTCCTCAAAATTGTCGGTCTTTTTTTGCTTATAGTGCAAAAAAATAAAAACCGCACAGGCAATCAAATACCACTGAAAGAAAGCTCAATTTGTGGGAAAAGAAGGATGTAAATTTCATCAGGGTACAGCATTGCATGACCGCACAATTGTCAGTTAAAGTATCACAGCGCTGTAATGTAAAAAATGGCCTGGTCAGGAAGGGGGGCAAATCCCCTGGAGGGCAAGTAGTTGCTGGGTGCTGCAAATATAGCAAGGTTGGACCTAAAAGTATTACTTTATCACTGTATCTGTGGATATGCACATGAAACCAGATAAAACTCAGTCCACTGTCTAGTTTTGATCTAGAAAGTAGCGCTCTTAAAGGGACACTAAATAATATCCTTATCCTCCAGATATAATCTATATACATCCATCAGTTAACAGTCCTGTAATCTGCGTAATCAGTTTTTCATGAAATCCTTTCTTACTGTGTTTTTTTTGCCTCCTTGCTCCTTAATCTATCCTTTTCCCAACTATAATTTGTATGGAACGAAAAATGCACTTCAATAGCAGTCATTGTCACTGCTCTATGCACAATACAAATTCCTTAGTCCCTAGTCCAACTAGGCAGTGATCCAGAGGGGGTGGCTACAGTTGTGTTCAAAATAATAGCAGTGTGTTGAAAAAAGTGAATAAAGCTCAAAATCCTTCTAATAGCTTTTATTTCCATACACACAAATGCATTGGGAACACTACACATTCTATTGCAAATCAAAATGAAGAAAAATATATCAAATTTGTGTTGTTCCTCTAAAAAAATTGAAGAACAGTGAATATTAGACTGTTCAAAAAAATAGCAGTGTTTGTATTCTTCTTTACAAACTCAAACATTCACTATATAAACTGAAAAATGTTTGAAGATTTTGCTTTCCTTTGAATCACTTAATATTTAGTTGTATAAGCACTGTTTCTGAGAACTGCTGTACATCTGTGTTGCATGGAGTCAACCAACTTCTGGCACCTGTGAACAGGTATTCCAGCCCAGGATGATTGGACTACATTCCACAGTTCTTCTCTATTTCTTGGTTTTGCCTCAGAAACTGCATTTTTGATGTCACCCCACAAATTTTCTATTGGATTAAGATCCGGGGATTGGGCTGGCCACTCCATAACGTCAATCTTGTTGGTCTGGAACCAAGATGTTGCACATTTACTGGTGTGTTTGGGGTCGTTGTCTTGTTGGAACACCCATTTCAAGGGCATTTCCTCTTCAGCATAAGGCAGCATTACCTCTTCAAGTATTCTGATGTATTCAAACTGATCCATGATCCCTGGTATGCGATAAATAGGCCCAACACCGTAGTATGAGAAACATCCCATATCATGATGCTTGCACAACCATGCTTCACTGTCTTCACAGTGTACTGTGGCTTGAATTCAGTGTTTGGGGGTCGTCTGACAAACTGTCTCTCCGGCCACTAGACCCAAAAAGAACAATCTTACTTTCATCAGTCCACAAAATGTTGCGCCATTTCTCTTTAGGCCAGTCAATGTGCTCTTTGGCAAATTGTAACCTCTTCAGCACATGTCTTTTTTTCAACAGTGGGACTTTGCGGGGGCCTCTTGCAGATAGCTTGGCTTCACATAGGCGTCTTCTAATTGTAACAGTACTCACAGGTAACTTTACACCTTCTTTGATCTTCCTGGAGCTGATTGTTGGCTGAGTCCTTGCCATTTTGGCTATTCTTCTATCCATTCGAATGGTAGTTTTTCGCTTTCTTCCACGTCTTTCAGGTTTTGGTTGCCATTTTAAATCATTTGCGATCATTTTAGCTGAGCAACCTATGATTTTCTGCACTTCTTTATATGTTTTCCCCTCTCCAATCAACTTTTTAATCAAAGTACGCTGTTCTTCTGAACAATGTCTGGAATGACCCATTTTCCTCAGAATTTCAGAGAGAAATGCACTGTAACCAGCATGTACAACATTTGCTGCCTTCCTTCCTTAAATAAGGGCAATAATTGCCACCTGTTTTTCAAAGAATGAATTACCTCACTATTAGAACTCCACACTGCTATTATTTTGAACATGACCCTTTCAATTAGTGATTCAATTACACAGAATCAGCAGCATGCATGTCATGACTGTTGGGTCTGTTGGATTTCTATTACTCTACTACACCTGCTAATAAATTATTTGCCATGTAGAAATATCATTTCTACCAAAAACAGTGATTGATCAGGTTAGTGATGTCTGACTGCTATTATTTTGAACACAACTGTATGTTCCTACATACAGTGGGACTACAGAGAAGGAGCATAGCCACCCTCTAACAGGAAGTCAGATCACAACAGCAAAAAAAAAAAATTAAAAAAAAAGAATTTGGAGATTTTGAGAAGGTAGAGAGCAAATGAAGTGACTATTCTGAGTTAGAAATGCATACTTGAATAGAATACAGTATGTTTTATAAGTAGAGTTTAATTATCACTTTAATCCATAATAAGCAGGCATATTTTTGAAATTGGTTGAATTTGTGTAGTTCAGCTCTAAAAAGAACCCTCATGAGAGACAGTAATAAATACTGTATACAAAACCTATTTTATTTATTACAGGTACTATATATAGTGCCGTCAATTTACACAGCACTTTACATATATATTGTACATTCACATCAGTCCCTAACCCTCAAGGGGGCGTACAGTCTAAGGTCCCTAACTTATATTCATACATACACATACTAGGGCCAATTTAGACAGGAGCCAATTAACCTACCAGCATGTCTTTGGTGTGTGGAAGGAAACCGGAGTACCCAGAGGAAACCCATGCAGGCACAGGGAGAACATGCAAACTCCAGGCAGGTGGTGGTGTGGGTGGGATTCAAACCAACGACCCTATTACTGCCAGGTGGAAGGGCTAACCATTTAGCCACTGTGCTGCCCATTTTACTTGTCAAAGCATTTTTAACTCTATTCAGCCAGCCTTGTGTCCAGCAACACCTGCCAGACAGAACAGCCCTGTACTTTGCCTGCTGCCTGATGATTAAAAAATGAAGGAATAGCACACTGATGTGATTATCCCAATCACTCCTCTCTTTCCCCATGTCACTATGTTTACTGTTTGCACACATGCTCTGCAGCAGAACCTGAAATGCCTAGAGATAATCATAGTCATTAATCTTACATTATTTTGCATCAAATCTATCACACAATCCTGTGGATGGTCAAGGCTTTAAATGGGATACTACAGCACATTTAATACCTATAAAATATCCTAAAATGTAATTTCAGCTAAATGATTCAGCTTCCGGGGTTCACATTGGATCCTAGCCTTCAATGACAGCTGGCAGTTCCAGCATCAGCATCTAGCACAGTGGTTCTCAACCTTTCTAATGCCGCGACCCCTTAATACAGTTCCTCATGTTGTGGTGACCCCCAACCATAAAATTATTTTCGTTGCTACTTCATAACTGTAATTTTGCAGTGGGAGGACTAGCGCCCCATCACTGATGTCAGTGGGAGGAATAGTGTCTCATCGTTGGTGTCAGTGGGAGGAATAGTGCCCATCATTGGTGTCAGTGGGAGGAATAGTGTCCCATCATTGGCGTCAGTGGGAGGAATAGTGCCCCATCATTGGCATCAGTGGGAGGAATAGTGTCCCATCATTGTTATCAGTGGGATGAATAGTGTCCCATCATTGGTATCGGTGGGAGGAATAGTGCCCCATC